CATGTCATCGGCGACTCTCGCCGTCGTCGTGCAAGAGACCGTCACGTGCTTCTTGGAGGGATTTGACGATGCTTCGTCAAGGTGTATTTTCAATAGGTATTTTCCCCTCCGTGCCATCAAATTGCCAGCTGATACTCGCTAAAAGGTGAACTAAAACAACGGGACAATAACCAGCTCCCAACACGCCTCCGTCGCCTTCCCACCACATTTCACCGTGTCTCCTTCGTCTTACCACATGTGTGTCAGTGTTGAACACGAACTGGAAATTTAGAAACAAGCGAAGCGAGCTCATGGTTTTGAGGAGCTCTCTTTCTATCTCTGCCACACGCGCGGAGCATCTCCACCGTTCCGTTCCGTCGAACAAGATTTACGCTTCCTTATCCATAGCTTTTCCACCACATGACCAGTGCTAGATATTCCGCGTCTACACAGATATGAAAAGGCAGGGAGGTCCCAGTCACGTTGCGGTTTTCATCATTTCCTCTTTCAGTGGCATCATTTCTCATGTCTGTCCCCAGGAAATTATCATCCACGTACCACCTTTCTCACTTTTGACAACCCATCCTTTGGCGTCCAGCGACCTTTTCCGCCCCTTTTAACTCAAAGATCGCATGGCGGGTCCACGTGCGCCACGCCCAAGCTAGCTGCAGCTGATACTTCTAACATGATAACGCCACTGCCGTTATCTTAGATGGGTACGACATGAGTGCTCCGTATCTTTTCTGATGTGCTGCACTGCTGTTCCATCATTATGAACGCCTTACATTAATTGGTTGATTTCCAAGGGTCTACGTTCCTTATTCGCTAGAGTGTACGCCTCCAAAATTGTGGATAGCATGCATGCACTGACTATAACTGATTGTACAATCTTCACTCCTACGAGTACTAGTAGGAAAAGCAACGCTAAGAGCATTTACAAACCCGCCTCATACATCCAGACGGACCGCTCGGTCACTGTCCAGTCATGATTTTTTGACCCCAGACGCCCCCTCCAAACGCCCGGCCACACCGCCATCCCCCACAAATATGGGACGGATATGGGGACGCCCGCCACGTCGGCTGATGGCATGGCCCCACACAGACTCGCGGGGAAACCGATGGTCCGATGGGCGCCTCGACCGTCGCTGCGGTGTGACCGCCGCGTGGCGCCGCTCCGGCTCGCCGCCCGAGGCCGTAGTCGGCTATTTAAGCCGGCCAGCGCCCCCAGCCCTAACACATCTACCTCTTCCCTTCCTCCGCCGCCACTCGAGTCCGTTATAGCCATGCCCCCACGCTGCCGCTACTACACGATCCATCACCGTCTCTTCCTCGAGCAGGTATGGATCCTTAGGGAAGCGAAGCTACCTATGGAACCGGAGGAGGATTTCGAGGAGGTTGAGGAGGAGGTGCCGGGGTGAAAGGGCATGTAGCCCCTAAGTGTGATTTTGGTAATTAATGGCAATCTCTATGGACTAATTTTTCACTGCGATATATTTGAAGGTATTCTACATAGATGGTGCTTCAAGGATATTAGATGGAATGAAGGATGAAGTCCATATATATGAAGATATATTTGCTCTAAGCTTTGGTATTAATTGACAATTCCTATGGAGCATCAAGTGCATTCAATCTTATATGAAGATATGTTCCATAGTGATGCTTGAAGTGCATTGGGTTGGTTTGTGAAGAATGGCATCAAATCATCCAAAGAAGTCCTCTAGGTATCCCTCTCTGTATACCCCATGCGCATGGGCCTCCTGACCCCCGTGCACACGGGGTCGAGTGTCAACTCTCTGGATACCCCGTGCGCACGGGGTCCCTGACCTCCGTGCACACGAGGCCTAGGTTTTGGCACTCGAGGTCCCATATCCAGTGAGGTTTCAAGTTAATCTTTGGGGATTTATGTCGAAGCCATCAAGATTGATTTTAATGTCTAACCAAATATATTCAAGGTGGAGTTCGTTAGAGGATCTCAAAGATTGACATATGTGGGCTTTTAAGGATCAAGAGCTTGAGAGTATTGAAAGGATCGAGAAGAGGGGTCTAGAGGGGGGGGGGATTAGACCCTCAACAAGTAAAAGTAGCAATTTTTAAGTTCTTCAAGTTAAGGTGGAGTTTTAGCACAAGTTTAAGCATTCACAATACATTCCAAGCAAGCATGACAAGAGTATATGCAGCGGAAAGAGTAAAACATGCAAGTTGCAAGAAAGTAAAGAGATGAGATTGGAGTTTGCAAACGCAATGGAGACATGGAGATTTTTGGCGTGGTTCCGATAGGTGGTGCTATCGTACGTCCAAGTTGATGGAGACTTCAACCCACGAAGGATAACGGCTGCGCGAGTCCATGGAGGGCTCCACCCACGAAGGGTCCAAGAAGAAGCAACCTTGTCTATCCCACCATGGCCATCGCCCACTGTCGGTGTACTAGAGTAGGGGTACCCTAGTATCCCGAACTTGTGCACGGGCAGTTGCAGCGCCCCGCGGCAAGGCTTGCCGGGTGACCACCAAGGTCCTCCGTGGTTCCTTTGGAGCCATTCAAGAACAAAGTATTCAAGCCAAGGAGACAAGGCCCCGGCAAGAGGAGCTTGCCGGGAAGGCCGACCGAGGCATCTCAAGGAACTTGCCGCGACGCGTCACGCGTCCCGGCAAGGTCCGGTGAGCGACAAGCTTCCGGACATGACAAGACAACGACCGCGGCAAGACGCTTGCCGCGGCAAGCGGCCACTCTGTGCTCACGCTCCAGCGCATCCACCAACGTGTCGCCCTGGGGGCCTTTCCAGGCACGCGTAGCGGGAGGCTGTGCAGCCAGCGGTGCGCGGTGGCATGCGATGCTGACAAGATCGCCATCGTGGCAAGTGGTGGCGCCCCTGACGGTCCTTTTCTGCACTGTT